AAATGGGGATCCTTAGGACAAAATGCTTTACAGCTCCACACATTCTTTTTTCTCCAGGCACTTTACATCCCCATCTGAACAGCCAATATTCAAACTCACCCTCCTCATCCTGTTGCCTTTTCACTCGCATACCTCACAGTTGCCCTCCACAAATGATGTCCTTCCTTTCTCTTTACACAAGTCATTTCTATGACTCTGATAAGTTTCAGCTTTCTCTTCGTGCAGGGGAAGAGAATGCAGAACTCCAAGGAGAGGCTAAGAGCTAGATGGGAAAGATGGCCCTGTAATGATAGCCTACTTGTCAACCAATGGCGAAGGAGGTCTTCTCCCAGGAAGCTGCACAGCAGCAAATGCCATGAGACAGAATCCCTGGGACACAGTTGCACAGGGATATCAGGAGAGCTGATCTCCTAATTCTCGAGCCTGTGTTGGGCTCTTACCCAGTCTGCCCCTTGGAGGAACGTGTGGTTGAAGAGAAGGCAACTGGTGCTGGTGTTGCTGCTACATTTCTTCCTGCAGGTTCAGAAACCCCTCCTGAACTTTATTAAATATGAAAAAAAGCCTCAAACCCCATAGAGCTGCAATTAAGAAACAACCCTCAGCACAATTACAAAGGGGTTAAATTCAAGCAGTGACTCAGCATGAGACAGTGGTGCAGGGAAATGCCATTACTGTCACTGCCTGATACAATCAAGAGATTGATCACTTAACACAATAGTTTTAGTACCTGCCCCTTATTGCTATGATGAATTCCCATTGAGGAGAAAAATGGATCATTCAAACCCTTGTCCATTTACAGGCTAGGTACTGTTACCATGTCATTTCCAAATAACAGAGGAGATGTTTCGAACCAATGTGAACTGATCATGTTGCCTGAACATTTTTTCATGGAAAAGAATTGCATTGTTTAACTGATCATGCCTGACTGGTCTATGTGCTATTATGTTGAAGTAAACTGGGTACTTTTTAAATACCCTATCCATTGAGAGAATTGAGAAGTAATCTCATCATAATATACAACATTTTGTTGAGACTTGACAGGGTAGACACTGATAATGTAGATTGTTTCCACTGCTTTGGGAATCTAAAACACAGAGACACAGTCTCAGAATAAGGTACTGTTCATTTACGACTGAGATATAGAGAAATTATTTCAAAGTGCCAAATATTTGGAATTATCTACACCAGAGGATTGTGGATGCTGTATGGCTGAAAATATTTAAGGCTGGGATAGACAGATTTTTGCTCTCTCAATAAATCATGGGATATAGGAACTGGGCAGGAAAGTTAAGTTGAAAGCCAAGATCCATCATGAGTGTACTAAATAACAGAGCAGGCTCAAAGGGCTGAATGGCCTACTCCTGATCCCATTTCACATGTTCTTGTGACTAGTCAAAGCGTTTCCCTGTCTTTTATAATCATTAATAGACCTGCTATATGGATTTTGAGCTCTTTTGTTTCGACCTTTGATTGACATAGTCCTTTGAACTCATGTCTCCCTCGAGCATTCCCTCAGAGACACCATTGAATTCACAAATCCCAATTTAAGGCAATCTTAAAGGAAGAGAAATAGGAATATATTTTGACAATTTGTTTCCCAGCATTTTCAGTTTCAGGTCAGGTTTGTTATTTGATTGAACACGGAACAAAGCTTATTCATTGTTTCATTGCAGCAGAGTCAGGAATATGTCAGTCTCAGAGAAATGGGCCTGGTTACTGTGACAAGTTTCCAGATCTTTCCTAAGATTAAAACTCAATCTGCCGCAAAAACTTGCATTTACATAGTGCCTTTTACATATAGGAGAAATATTTCCCAATGAGCTTTATGGGAGTGTTATATAAAGTTCAACAATAGGAGAGAGTAGGACAAGTGACCAAAATCTGGCTTTGGAGCATCTTAAAGGAGGAAAACGAGAGGAGGGGGGAGCTTTAGGGAGGGAGTTGCAGAATTTAGGGATCTTCAGGCAGCTGAAGACTGCAATTCATGAACATGTGTGGCAGCCTGACCCTAATCAGTGTTCTGACATTTTCAAAGTGCCAGTGAAGGGCTCTTGCAATGCATACTCCTGGTAACCCTACTCCTGGATTAAGAGGCCTGGGTTCAAGTCCCACCTGCTCCAAAGGTGTATAATATCATCTCTGAGCAGGTTGATTTTTTTTTTAAAAGATTAAAAACATTTATCAAAGCTCCAGTGATTGCTCAAACTGTGCCAACATGCATTCTTTCTGCCACTTATTCAGAAAATCTGGTTAAACAGGTATGTGACAGGATAGTGCAGCAGATATTTAAGGGTATGGTCTTCTCGTGCTAGGGAAAAGCAAAATATTGCTCAAGCTGGAATTCTGAAATAAAGTCAAAAACCTCTGGAAAAACTCTGCAGGTTTGGTACAAGAGAAATAGAGTTAGTTTCAGATCATGACCTTTCTTCATAACTGAAAACATTAATAATATAAGAGATAACAAGGTGTAGAGCTGGATGAACACAGCAGGCCAAGCAGCATCAGAGGAGCAGGAAGGCCGACCTTTTGGACCTAGACCCTTCTTCAGAAATGGGGGAGGGAAAGGGGGTTCTGAAATAAATAGGGAGAGAGGGGGAGGCAGATAGAAGATGGATAGAGGAGAAGATAGGTGGAGAGGAGACAGACAGGTCAAAGAGGCGGAGATGGAGCCAGTAAAGGTGAGTGTAGGTGGGGAGTTAGGGAGGGGATAGGTCAGTCCAGGGAGGACGGACCGGTCAAGGGGGCGGGATGAGGTTAGTAGGTAGGAGATGGGGGTGGGGCTTGAGGTGGGAGGAGTGGATAGGTGGGAGGAAGAACAGGTTAGGGAAGCGGGGACAAGCTGGGCTGGTTTTGGGATGCGGTAAGGGGAGGGGAGATTTTGAAGCTTGTGAAGTCCACATTCCGCCCCCTTGACCTGTCCGTCCACCCTGGGCTGACCTATCTCCTTCCTAACTCCCCACCTACACTCACCTTTACTGGCTCCATCCCCGCCTCTTTGACCTGTCTGTCTCCTCTCCACCTATCTTCTCCTCTATCCATCTTCTATCCACCTCCTCCTCTCTCCCTACTTATTTCAGAAACCCCTCCCCTCCCCCATTTCTGAAGAAGGGTCTAGGCCCGAAACATCAGCCTTCCTGCTCCTCTGATGCTGCTTGGCCTGCTGTGTTCATCCAGCTCTACACCTTGTTATCTCAGATTCTCCAGCATCTGTAGTTCTTACTATCTCTGAAACAACATTAATAATATAGCAAAGTTTAAGCTCTTCAGGTCTGATTCATTCCGTTCCATTGTTGTCCTGCTCTGCCATTTAATTTCATTCTTTGGATCTCATGCTTTGACCAAAAAACTTCTTGTCTTCATTTCAGGTGTGAAAAATCACAAGCTCAAACTACACAGATCTCACTTGATTTCTCCCTGACCTATCCCTTCCTCAAACTCATCTCATGCTAGATTTACACTACCTTCTTCCCCTTCTCTGACACTAAATGATCTGTCTTGAGCAAAGGACTTAGTTATATGCTCTTACACCTTCACTTTAATGAATTTTGTGATTGGCACCATGTTGAGCTCTTCTTTGTTCACCTTTGTCTCTGTAGCCATTTCTTTGGCCAGGAGATGTTACCCTACACTTACAGATGCTCAAGTATTCTCTCTCCCACCTCCCACTCTTCCCTCTGTCCTTTTATTCTCTCTTGGTCTTTTCATTAAGAACTGCCAGCATGACATTAATTATCATAATTCCTCTGCTCCCGTCTCTCACTGAATACTGTCTCCTTCTAAACTTCTGCACTTCAATTTCTCAGGTCCAACACTGCAGTCTGAATTGTCCGAACTGAAGTGGCTACTGGGAGGCAGGAAAATCCCTAGCTTCACCTGAAGAAGTGGCTCCAGAGTACAATTTTCATTACTGTGAACTTTAACTCTTTGAAGATTTATATTGACTTCTTTAAGATTAAATGGGTCTAGGATATATTGCTGTCCCATCTATGGAGCTGGCCATGTTGGAAGTACACCTGTGCATTGTACCAAATGGGCTGCACCTTTAAAAGGCCCTGGTGAAAATCAGAAACTCCTGGAATGAGGTTGGGATTGATGTGCAATTGGGAGTCCCCCCAAGGACTCTCCAGTCATTCCTAAACAAAAACAGGCCTAATGAAAGGGATGCTGTTGTCTGGCAAAGTGACTTCTACATAGTAGACGCTGAATGTCAACTCTTGGACACTTCCTCCCCTTGGACCATGGCCCCATTAGTGAATATCAAGCCATTGCTTCCAGGACTGTCACTGCCCTCCTCTCTCTCTGCAGCTTTCCACCTCAGCAGGCTTGAGGGGCCTAATGGCCTACTCCTACGTCATATGTTCTAGTCTGACTTCTCTGGACCATGCCTGTTCTCACCTCAGAAAGACTAAGAAGGACAGATTTTTGAGCATTCAGGTTTTTCAAGGGCAATATGGATAGGGCAGGAAGGCAGTGCCCAGAAGATTCACAGTGATCTTACTGAATGGCCAAAGGTTTGTGACCTGTGCAGGCTCCTGGGATGGTGAAAAGTGTTTTAGAGAATTGCGCTTTGCTTTCTCTCAGCTCTGCGGTGGGGGAATATCAGGAAAACTGACTCACATTTTGCCTTGTCTCTGATGGAATGTTCTGTAAGTGCCAATCCAACTACAGTATCGTTGGCCCTAGTTATCCCGGTTACCCAGGGAAATCCTTCCTCTCCCGTCAGCATTTGGGATTGTTTTGAGTTAATTGATGAGAAGCTGCAGGCATCAGAGGGTCTGACTCCCTGCAATGAGCTCCTTCACCCTCCCTCTCTCATGCTCACTCACTCTCCTCCTCACTCAGTTCCCTCTGTGTGTGTGTGTGTGTGCTCTTTGGGCGAAGCTTCGCTGTGAAAGCTGCCAGCATTCGCTTCAGGACGGGAGGAGGAGACTGCACCGTCTGCATCAGATAGACGCGAGTGCGTCTCCTTTTACCCACACACCCCCCTCCAAAACAAAACCTCACACACACACACACAGAGCCGGGAATGAATCAGCGAGAGAGGGCTTGGAGTGCGGACTGAGGGCAGCCGAAGCCCCCGGAGGAGACACATGGGGCGGTACACATCTCTCCCCAGCGCCGGTAGATCAGGTGAGTAGCCGGTGGCTATGGAGGGGACGGGGAGCGCTGCAGTTTGTGAGCAGCAGCAACGGCGGCTCCCTGTCCAAGGTCAGGGACAAGCGGCGCTTCTGGTTGATGCAGTGGCGGTGGGTTCAGTCCGCTGGCAGAGTTTATACCGCGGCCGGCTGCTGGGAGTGGGGGGATGAGAGGCTTGTGTGTGTGTCTGTGTGGGCACTGCGATTAACCCCAGCTTTATTCAGACGGCAAACCTATGTCACGATGAAAGGAGGGAGTGAAAGGAGCATGGGGGTGGGTGGGGTTTGGAGGGATGCAGGGAGGGGAAATGGCAAAGAAGGGACAGAGGGGCAATGAACAGCGGGAATGATCGTGGCGATAAGGAAGGGGTGGGAGAGAGAGAGAGAAAGTAAACAGGGATGATCTGAAACTTGTACTCTGTGTAAAATCATGGATTAGTACAGCATAAAAGGACACCACTTGGTCCATTATTTTTATGCCAGCGCCTTGAATGAACTATCCAATTAGTCTCACTACCCAGCATGTTCCCACTGTCCTGCAATATTTTCCCTTGGAATATTAATCCAATTCTATTCTGAAAGTTGCCATGGAATCTGCTTTCCGTTATTACCCTTTTAGGCAGCACTCTACGCTAGAGATTACAATACTGAGTAAGTAAATACTCATTCCCAATCCCCCCAAACCCCTCACCCCAACTTTGCCTTTTGTCAATCACTTTAAATCTGTGTCCTCTGGTTAATGTTCCTGCAGCCATTGGAAATAATATGACCTTAATTACTCTGTCAAAACAATTCATGATCTTGAACATCACCAGCAGATCTCCCCTTAACCTTCTCAGCCTAAGGAAAACAACAGATTTTCCAAAGAAAAACCATATTAGACTTGAAATGTTAACTCTGCTTCTCTCTCTGCAGATGGTACCTGACTTGCTAAGTTTCTCCAGCACATTATGTTTTCATTTCAGATTTCCAGCATCTGTGAAAATTTGTTTTTATTTGATTTTCTAAAACTCTGTTTAGGATCGATGGTGAAAAATAGTTCCTGAAGAGCTGAGATTGAAGATATGTAACCTACATGTTGTTGCCGGGATATGATTGTATGGATCTGAATTACTGTGAAGTGTTCATTAAAAAATCAATCTCTCTCCACCTGACCTACATATTATTAATGTTCAGATACATAATCATTTACTATATGCCAGTTCCCTGGCAATGGATGTTAAGTTGCATGTGACATGAATTTGATGCTTGTTGTTTTCAAAATGTTTAATTTATTGATATACCTGACTTAGAGATTCTCCCCAGGTGATTTTGACTTTCTTTTCCATGTTTCCTTTCATAGGGAACAATCTGAATATAGGAATTTCAATGGATATTATATGGACTTTCAAAAAGGTTTTAATAACATTATTTGCATGGAATTGGAGAGAGCCTTATAACATCTGTTAGGAATTGAGGATTGAGGAGGGGTGATAGAGTGGTGATGACTGATGTACATTCTGGCAGGAATTCACTAGTGGAAATCTACGGGTGTCTACTGGAATCTCTACTTTTCCCCACATTAATTCATGAAGTGACAGAAACATCCAGGCTTGAGTTGATAGTTGATAGTTAGTGCAAAGTTGCCTCCGACAGGGTGTTGCCTGATGCAACATTGCTTATGAAATCTCCCGTAGCTTAAGAAACTAGGTGTAGATAATCCGTAGACATTAGTTACAAAAATGTTTATGTGCAAGCATTACATTCCACAAGCACACTAAGTATCTGGGCTAATTTTAATCTATTGGACATGAACAGAGCAGCATGCTACCAGTAGAGTGTCATGCTTCAAGTGATCTGACATAAGATGGAATATGAGCTGTTTGTACACTTGAGTCACATGCTATGAAATAGTGATGATTTCATGAACATTTCTTTTAATGGCAAACTGACATACTGACTGTAAGACATAGCACAACATCCCTTTGTCCCAAAAAAAACATATGTTGTTGCACTTGTTTAGTAACTGTGTTGTCCTGCTGCTGATTGCTTTCACTCAGTATGACCCACAATCATCCTCTGAGTATTCTTAGAATCATACAGTACAGAAGAGGCCCTTTGGCCCATCGAGTCTGACTGCCAACAATATACTACTGCCTACACTGGTCTCACTTTCCTGCACTAGGTCATGACACTGTTATGACACTTCAAGTGCTCACCCAAATACTTTCTAAAGGTTGTGAGGTTTTCTGCATCAACTACCCTCTCAAGCAGTGTATTTCAGACCCTCACCACCCTCCGGGTGAAAAATGATTTCCTCAAATTCCCTTTAAACCTCTTGCCTTTCACTTTAAAGTTATGCCCCTTGTTATTGACCCATTGACTAAGGGGAACAGCTGCTTTCTTGTCATCATGTCAATGCCCCTCATAATCTTATACACCTTGAGTACATTTCCCTCTCAACCTTCCCTGTTCTAAAGAAAACAACCCAAGGTTATCCAGCCTCTCCTCATAGCTGAAATGCTCCATCCCAGGCAAAGTCCTGGTGAATCTCCATTGCATCACCTCTACTGCAATCATATCCTTCCTATAGTGTGGTGACTAGAACTGCACACAGTAATCCAGTTGTGACCCAAACAAAGTTCTGTACAGCTCCAACGTGATCTCCCTGCTCTCATAATCTATGCCAAGACTGATAAATGCAAGCATACTGTACACCTTCTTACCTACCTTATTAACCTGTCCTGCCAATTTCAGAGATCTGTGGACAAACACCCCAAGATCCCTCTATCCCCATGAGCTTCCAATTGTCTTGTTCCCTCTTCCAAAGTCCATTGTCTCACCTTATTGGGTTAAATTCCTTCTGCCACTGATCTGACCATCTGACCAATCTGTAACCTAACACCTTCCTTCTCACTGTCAACCAATGGGCCAATCTTTGTGACACTGCAAACTTACTTATCATCCCCTGCATATTCTCATCTATGCTATTTATGAATATTATAAACAATGGGACCCAGCACTGATATACCATTGCACACTGGGACCCAGTGACACAAACAGCCTCTGAGTCCTGACACCAAGCCTATTTTGAATCCAGCTTGCCAAATTACCATGGATCCTATGAGCTTTTACTTTCTTTAACAGTTTCCCTTGAGGGACCTAGTCAAAGACCTTGCCAAAATCCATATAGAGTCATACAGCAGGGAAGCAGACCCTTCTTGTCCGTGCTGACCAAGTTTCCCAAACTTAACGATTCCCATTTGCCTGCGTTAGCCCGTATCCCTCTAAGCGTTTCCTATTCATGTACCTGTCCAAACATCTTTTGATGTAACTCTACCTTCATCTACAACTTCCTTTAGCAGTTTATTTCACATATGAACTGCTGTCTGTGTGAAAAAGTTGTCTCTCAGGTCCCTTATAAATCTTTCTCTTCTCACCTTAAAAATATGCCCCCTAGTTTTGCACTCCCCTAGCCTAGGGAAAAGACCTTTGCTTTTCACCTTATCTATGCCCCTCATGATTTTATAAGCCTCTATAAGGTCACCCCTCAACTTCCTATGGGAAAACAATCCCAGCATTTCCAGCCTCTACTAATAAATCAAACTCTTCAGTCCTCGCAACAACACCCGGGTGAATCTTTTCTGAACCCTCTCCAATTTAATAATATCCTTCCTATATCAACTGCCCTCCCTCAACCAAACACTGGTCACTTCCTCAATAAATTCCACCAGACTTATTAGGCATGACCTCCCTCTGACAAAGCCATGCTGACTACCACTGATCAAACCTTGTCTCTCCAAATGCAGATTAAATTTCTCCTTCATTGTTTTCTCCAATAGTTTCCCTACACTGATATTAGGGTCATTGGTGTACATTTTCTTGGTCTATCTCTACCACCTTTCTCGTAAAGTGGAACTACATCAGCTGGCCTCCAGTCCTCTGACACCTTTCTTGTGGCCAGAGACGATTTAAAAATTTGGTTCAGGGCCCCTGTAATTTCCTTCCTCATTCCCTACAGCAGCCTGGGATAAATTCATTTGGACCTGGGGATTTGTCAACTTTTAAATCCACCAAAACCTCCAATACCTCTTCACTTCTTATACCAATCTGCTCAAGAACTTCACAGTCCAACTTCTCGAATTCTGTACTTGCATCCTCTTTCTTCCAAGTAAAGAGAAATATGAAACTCATTTAACATTCTACCAATATCTTCTGACTTCACACACAGATTGCCCCCTTGGTCCCCAATAGGTTCTTTTCCTGATTATTCTTTTCTCCTTGATATGCTTATAGAATATCTTGAGGCTCTCCCTAATCTTGTGTGCCAGCATTTTCTCATGCCCCTCTTTGGTCTCCTACACTTTCGATACTCCTCTAAGGATGCTTTGCTCTTTTTGTACCTGTTATATATCTCTTTTCCCTTTTATCCAGTCCTGAATATTCCTAGATATCCAGGGTTCTCTAGGCTTGATACTCCTACATTTCACTCTAAATGGGACGTGGATGTCACTGGCTGGCCAGCATTTAACACATGTCCCTAGTTGCCCTTGAAAGGTGGTGGCGAGGTGCCTTCTGGAACCCCTGCAGTCCATCTTCTATAGGTAGACCACAATACCCATAGGGAGGAAATACCAGGATTTTGACCCAGCGACAATGAAGGAATGCAATATATTTCCTGGATATCAGAATGGTGAGTGGCTTGGAGGTGAATTTGCGGATGGTTATATTTCTGCTGTCCTTGTCCTTCTAGATGGTACAGTCTAAGAATCTTCAGCAAATATCTGTGGTGCATCTTGTAGATAGAACACACTGCTGCTACAGAGTGACAGTGATGGAGGGAGTAGATGCTTGTGGATGTGGTGTCATTCAAGCAGGCTACTTTGTCCTGGATAGTGTCAAATGTCTTGCATATTGTTGGAGCTGCACTCATCCAGGCAAATGGGGAGTATTCCATCACACTCCTGACTTGTGCCTTGTAGATCGTGGACAGGTGTCGGGGAGTCAGGAGGTGAA